CTGCGTGGTGCTTAGTTCCTGGCTGGGGCTAAACCATGACAGGCTTTTAGGATGAATTTTTGAATGTAACTAAGTGTTGCTCTACACAGATGGTTCTATACCATTTTCAAACACAGTTTTGAAACACTGGCATAAGCTTAAAGTCAATACAATTTATGCACCTTTACTACTTGTAGTATAAAAATTTGCCCAGCGCCTAATTTGAAACTGGGTAAAAGGGGAACTTACTTTCACACAAGAGATTACTCTGACCACACAGAATCTAGTCTTGTGTTAGTTCAACACAATCCCATGCAAGACCTGGGAAGATGTGGGTTCAGCCCCTCACGTTACCAGAGAGTAAGGTACTCAGAATCAACATAGCAAATAGGGGAGGTGTATATACACTGAACTGCAATTTTCATTGCTTTAGTCTCTCTGGGAAATCATCCCGATTCATCTGGCAATCTAAAGTGCCACTGAAGCAGAAGTTTGGATCCAAACTTCAGTAGGGTAATTCAGGAATACTTAGATTGTAGGCACCTACAGTACCTCCTATTTATATGAAATCTTTTGCATCCTCTGAAACTCTGCTTTTGGGTATGTCCAGTAGCATCCTGGCCTTTACAAAGCTGCATGCCTTTGTATCTACCTCCTATATGTTCTCAAGTACTAAAGGCCACGCTTAAGAGTTAGACCACTAACTTCCAGATGTTCCAGCCTTGTCTGTCTCAACGGCCCTCTGTTGAATGTCACACCTCACCCCGAAGCCTTAGGAGTAAGTGGAGAAATTATACAGTTTTCACTACATTAATTGCATTATTATGTGAACACTTACAGTAACTGAGTATTTACAATTGATCTGTTCAACTAGAGAAATAGTCACTTCCAGTGGTGTCTGGTTTGCACACATTTTTAAAATGATAGTATTTATAGATATAAATATACTATACATATAAATAGTAGCTAGCTTTCCTATATCTTACTGTAACATAACTGTAACTTAAGATTACAGTAAAGCAGTATCATCTGTAATTTAATTAACATGTTAAAGCACGTATCAAAATTACATCTTTATTGCTGAATCAAGAAGATGCCATTTCCAAATGTTTTCTTCATTATATTGTATGCAATGGGCTGTCACATGAAGGATAAACTTACCTTGCAAAGTGTTGAAAATGGTAAAGAGGTAAGTAAACACCTCATTTACTGTGAAGAAAGCAAATCCCCAAGTAATTCCCAACAAGAATGTGAGGCCAGCAACACTCCTAAGGTCTTGAATACTGGTTTTTCTTTGAGCACCAAGTTGTTTTTTCTTTTTGATACGACAGAGCTGGATCAGCACAACAATGAACATGCTGATATTGATCAGGAATATCAGGCAAAAGTATCCCACAGCAGTAATATAGAAGACAATTCTGTTTTTAATCCAGCAGCTAGAACACAAGAACAGTCTGTCAACCATTATCAGAAACAGAAATTAAGTAAAATAAACATGAGATAAAGGTGTAGTTTGTTGCACATGCAAGCCATTCTTGCCTCTTTGGTAGAAAGTATTTTTCTGGCCAAAGGGTAAGAGCTTTGATACAGGCAGTAACCACAAAACACATGACATACTGTAGGGCGATACCATTTCAAAGCTCTCCCATTGCTTCCTTCCCTTCCCCACCTTTACTTTAAAGAAAACCGATTTCATAGGACCTCCTTCCCACCCACCCCCCAAAAAACACCTCCCTTTAACTCACAATTCATCAGGTCTGTTTACTGAAATCTTTCCAGTGGTTATAAGTCCATAATTATCTGGTGATACTGCCAACACAATGGACACAACTACTGCTGGTAACCCTATAAAATTATGAGCAAACACATAAGTGACAATCATGACAAAGATGGTATTATGATGACATGAAATTACTATCTTTTTCTGTGAAATCTACAACCTGTTTCTGAAATTTGTCTGTTGAATTCTGTTGACTACTAGCTGTCTGACTACTACCCTTCTGAATAAGGCAACAAATACCATCACTCATCAAACTGATTTAAAACATCAGATACAGGATACCCAATTTTCTTTCTTACATCTGTTTTAGGAAAACAATTCTATTGATTTTAGTGCCTTCCCTCATGTTTACACAAGTGGCCAGAGAGGATAATCAGGTCCAGAATTTCTTCATCCTTTAACCAGTTAGATCTGTTTTGCTGCTTTTTGTTAGCAACAGTGCTATCCCAGAAAAGGAATATATACACTCATTGGCATTTATTTTCAAAACAGAACTGATGTCATCCGTCTGGTAAACGGAAATGGAAGTATGCACATTCAAAATTGGTTCTATTGTACTTGCATAAGGAAAATTCATTATCAGTTTGCATTGCAGCAGCTTCTGCTGCAGTTCTGCAGTTAGGGAGGCGTTCCCTACCTCAGAAAGGTGGAATATATAGGATCAGGTTTACTGATAATGAATACCTGGTCACTGCAAAGTCATAACATTTAATGACTGCTTAATTTTCATTTCTGAACTGTGTCACATTCACTGAAATACTTGATAAGAGGATTTATCTATTTAGCATCTAGAAGGAAAAAAAAGAAAAAAAACAATAAAACATACATACCCCAACCAACAAGACAAAATTTAAGAATGTATTTCCGTACATAGGTATTAAAGACTTTCACAAGGGCCAGATACATGTGGAAAGCTTCTAGGCCCATCCAGGTGAAGGAAACCAAGAGGAAATAGTGAAGAAATACTGCAACTGCAATGCATAGGCCTCGTGTATTATACAGTGCTATCCATGAGTCAAGGAGGAAAACTAAGTTGAGTAGAAGTAATGCAGCACACAGCTGAATAAGGATTTTGGAGGGGTAGTCTCTCCGGATTTTCCTAAAAAAGTAAATTAGTGAGATGACATCAGTTATCCATATATCCCTGGCTCACTTCCTCTCTTGTAGTCCTTAGTGCACAAATGCCAAGAAAAAAAATATTTATATATTTTCATTCATATATAATGCTTCATATCTTGCATTTATATACAGAAAGAGTAATTTACAAAAGATTTCCAAATTAACGGTATGAATAAAGCTTGTTATAATAAGGTTACATAAATGCAAACAATACCTTGCATTCTTCAGTTTAGTACCATCATTATTTTTTTCACATTATATGTTGGACTTCTCCTTGTTACAGTACTTCCAAAAACCAAGCTGTGACTGTTCTTTATTGCTAAGATAGATTAGGCTTTTGATTGGGCTTAATTTCTTCATGGAAAGGGTAGTCAAGCATTGGAACAGGCTGCCCAGGGAAGTGGAGTCACCATCCCTGGAATTGTTCCAAAAACGGGTAGACGTGGCACTTTGGGACATGGTTTAGTGGGCATGGTGGTGTTGGGTTGATGGTTGGACTGATGATCTTAGAGGTCCTTTCCAACCTTAATGATTCCTACTTTTTACTTTCATTATAAATAATCCAGCCACCAAGCCAGGAAACATGAAATTGCTACTCTACCCTTAATTGGTTTAGTGGTGGACTTGGTAGTGTTAGGTTAATGGTTGGAGTGGATGATCTTAAAGGTCTTTTCCAACCTAAATGATTCTATGATTCTATGATTCTATAAGTAAGTCCTTGATGACAGGATAATGAGAGAATAAACATGTGCCAAATAACTTTGAGGAGGATTTCAAAAAAGTAACATCGAGGATTCAATAGTTAAGGCTCAAATGTAAGAAAATGTTCCAACAAACAACAAAGAAAACAAATGCGTTTAAAAATGCTATCATTCTGCACTGCTCTATATATGTTGTATTTTAAACACATTCCTTCACACTTCTATTATGATAATCTGTTATAAAATATTTAAGAGTACTACTTCTTCACTTCTTACTGCATAGAGCCTCATGATTAATTCACTTGTCCGCAAGGTTAACGTTCCTGAATCAACACCTTCCTGGTAAACTGGACAAATGTGTGCATCATTAACGGAGACATAACCCATAACTATTGGAAAGGACTTTGCAGTGAAGACTACAAGCAATCATAATTGAAGAATAATGGGAGCTTAGTTGAACAGGTACTTACTCAAAGGCTATGTAGGTCACAAGAGTAATAGAAAGAAAAATTGCAGAGAGGCCACAGCCTATATAGGATATAAAAGTCAGTACCAATTCTTGTGTGGGATTCAAAGGAGTATTTCCATACAAGTTCTAAAATGAAAACAGAAGTTAATTTCAGAGAACATGCTTATTAAATGGAAGAAGATAAAAAAAACCAAAATGCACCTTTCCCTCTGCAATTAAAAAAGAAACAGTTCTTTTCATCATGGATCTTATAAAAGGTGAACTGAAAAACACAAAAGCCAATGCAGTCTTGCGAGGAGCAGGGAGCTGGACCCAATGATCCTTATGGGTCCCTTCCAACTTGAGATACTCTATGATTCTATGATTCTAATTGTGAGATCCCATTTGATTAAAAACCTGTTTTAAATTTGATTTATCCTAATTTTTATTTCCTACAATATAAACAACTAAGTGCAAAAGCTGCAGTTTAATAAGCACTTAAGGGATTTTTTACTTCAGTGGAACTCACGGGCCCCCATTCAACAAGCGGCTTAAGCACATGACTAATTTAATGGCTGTATGTACTAACACTGAAGTGAATAGAACCTGAGTAGTATTTCATAGGTGGTATGTGCTTACTGAATCCTCATTTGCTTAAGATAGCACATGCTTAAATGTTTTCTTGAATTAGGGTAAGATTGCATAATTTTTTAAATAATTACCATCAAAACTGCAAAGCTTGTGAGGTGGTTGCACGAACAGACTGTTTCATTTACTCTACTTTCTTTAACTATGCAACCTTCATATGACCAGCCTCCATGTCCACCTGTTAAAGAAAACAGCTTTGTTATTCATAAAAGCCTTTATTTATAGTAACATGAGTTAACATAGCTAAACCAGCATGATATCTTGGGTGGTATCAAGTACTTACCATTTTTATTAAAGTCCCAAAAAACACATCTAACTGTTGAATTATCCTGTTTGGGAGGTAAAAAAAGAAAAGACGTTTTACTAAACTATGAGTTTATAATCAAGTAATTTATGAATTTTCTACAAAATGCAAGCAATAATAAATACTGTGTACAGCAAATATACCTGTTTTACATGAACACAAAATTAATTTAGGTACATAGAATGGATTAATATTGCAATATATGAAAATATGCTGAACAAATTTGAAGTTACCATACAGGAGCTAGCTCTCATGCTTATGCTAAGGTTCTGTTCCTGGCAGAACATTATGAATGCTGTTTCATTGTCTTCCTACACTATACAAATTCTTGGGATTTTCCATCCTTGCTGATTTTGTAAGCATCAAGAAAATGACCACACAGAAAAGGAAGAACTCTTTTTCATTTACAAACATTTGATCACTTTATATTACTGTGATGTCAAAGGTTTACATATAGATTTCATACACACAAACACAAGAAAATCCTAAAAATAGTAGCAGTAATACACTATACTGCTATGAATACTAATACTTCTACAGTTACAGCTCAAAACTCAGTATTATATCGACACAAGTTGTCCTGGTTTCGGCTGGGATAGAGTTAATTTTCTTCCTAGTAGCAGGCATAGTGCTGTGTTTTGGAGTTAGTAGGAGAAGAATGTTGATAACACACTGATGTCTTAGTTGTTGCTAGGTAGTGCTTACCCTAGTCAAGGACTTTTCAGCTTCCCATGCTCTGCCAGGTACACAAGAAACTGGGAGGGGGCACAGCCAGAATAGTTGATCCAAACTGCCCAAAGGGCTATTCCATACCATATGACGTCATGCTCAGTATATAAACTGGGAGGGTTGGCCGGGGAGCAGCAATCGCTGCTCGGGAACTGTCTGGGTATCGGTCGGCGGGTGGTGAGCCATTGCATTGTGCATCACTTGCTTTGTATATTATTATTATCATCATCATTATTGTATTGTTATTATTATCATTACTATTTTACTTTATTTCAATTATTAAACTGTTCTTATCTCAACCCAGGAGTGTTTCTCACTCTTACTCCTCCGATTCTCTCCCCCATCCCATCGGGGCAGGGGGAGTGAGCGAGCAGCTGTGTGGTGCTTAGTCACTGGCTGGGGCTAAACCACGACACAAGTAAAGACTACACTAAGCCAGCTTTAGAAAAAAGCTTCAGGTATGTTAGTGGAATCCCTAAATTTTTCACTTTGCAATATTTTAGTATTTTAAACTCTTTTAAGGTTTGGGATAGAACATTTTAATCCTTGATGCTCATTTAGGAAAGAGATGCTGTATATGAGCCCTAATTACTTCCAGATGACACAATGCTGTGTTCCAGTTTAAGGAACAACATTCCCCCTAATAAAAAAGACTTATATTGCTTTCTGGCCATGCAGCACCTACAAATGTCATGACTGCAGCATCTCCCACTGTCAGGCTTTCATCTAAGTGTTTTAATACTTTAAAACAGAAGGGCTGGTAGGAAAGATAAAAACTGGATGGATAAGTGATAGAGCAAAACTACCTGAAACCGTTTGAGAATAAAAATTTATACCAGTGATAAATAAGCAAAGGTGAGTGATTTTTAAAGTCCAGATGGAGATGAAATGTCCACACTAGTAAAGCAAACCAACCAATCCGTATTCTTAGTACAGGATTTCTTCTACAACAACTTCAATGGAGGCAACAAAATCATACTTTAAGTCTGCCAAAATGTAAATCATACCTGATTAGGTTTGATATTCTGTAACGTGACAGTAACATTTGCCTTTAAGTTGCTAATGGTAAGGTTAGCAACACTTGATGATATAACATTGCTGATTAAAGATGCATTCTTCAAGGACAGATCCTGGAATGACAAAAAATAATCAAGATTTTAAAATCTTAAGGAAAACAATGGTAGAGTACAGCACAGCACCCACAGGCTCAGTTATTATGCAGAGTGAGCACTGGACAAAAACAATTACTTTTTAAATCAGGAAGTTTTGAAATGTGTTTTGTGGGAAAAAAGTCCATTCATATTTTATTTTGCTCTAGGCTGGAGTTTAAAACCCTTATGAACAGAGGATCAAAAAGATACCTGGAACACAGTGGTCTTTTTAAAGAAGTTGAATATAATTCTAGAAGCCAAGTCCAACTCTTCAGAGGGTAAATTTATCAGCAATGATGAAGGAAGTGTAATTGATCCAAGATTATTAAAATCATTAATTGCATTAATGCCTAGAGAGATCTGAAAAATAAATGCAAGGATTATGCTTCATTTCAGTCACTAAAGAAAAATTAAATTATGACTTCTTTTCAGTTTAGAACTTCAAAATACATATCTGTGTAATCCCTGTCAAGAACTCACTGCTGCTCTCTCATTCCTCTCCTGCTCCAATGAATAAATACCATCTGTAGGCCTGAAAAGGACGCAACTCATTTCAGGTCCACCTACCATTGAAAATACTCTGGCTTTACCCATTTGCTTACAGGGACAGAACACATCACTGTGGTGGATAATGTTGATTTGAAAACGGTGAAGAGCAACAACCTGGGTAGGTCTATGTAACTGTGTAAGGAGATTAACATTTCACAGCACGGAAGCCTGCCAAGGCAAAGAATTTTTATACCCCATATGAAGTATGTCAGAATTCAGAAAAACTGTAAATAGCCATTGTTTGTCAATAGGTTTTTAAGTACAGTCGGTTAAGCAGAACCTAAGAACATAAACCCTAACATTATGATCATCTGGAAAAAATGACAAAAATAAACTGGATAAGCTACAATTCAGATATCTCAAGAGCTTTCTGATCTAATATTATTAAAAAAAGATCTGAATTTTCACCCAGTTTTCTGTGCTGTACTTACAGGACAGAGAGCTTTATTTAGTACAAAATCTCTAACATTTTCTTGTTGCGCATTAGTCACTTTACATACAAATATCATCATCTCAGAGTTCCTGAGAGATGTCAAATATCAGCACAACTGGAGAAAGAAATTAGCTGTGTATTCAAAGAATGGTTATAATACGAATAACAGTGTGAGGTCTCTACAGTGCCATAAGAATATGGTTTAACTCTTCTGTTTAGACCAGTGGTCTCCAAAACCCTGAAAATTTTTTGAGCGCACACCCCAAAATATATCTAAGTTATATGCATGTACTACTGTACTAATATATTATGCACATTATAAAATATACACAAAAACAGAAATTTTAAAAGGATGAGATAAAGTTTAAACATTATTTTTTAAAATATATATATATTTTATT